TTACTGAAACAATCTATTTTTAAATGGTCAATTACAGTAAGTTAGTAATTGTCATGTACATTTCTGAACAATAACAATCTGTAATTTACATACATGTATAAACATATTAAAATATAAAATAATATCAAAATGTCTAACTGAATTAAATGAATTTCATTGATAAAACGATTAATATTTCAAACAAATCATGGAAGCAATAAATTCCTAGCCGATAAATGTCGCAAAGGAAAGTATTTTTAACTAGTACGGATAAAAATTTATAAGTGTTTTAATGAATACATTTTTACTGTCTGATAATTGTCCAGTATTTTTTAATAATTCAGATTTATTACTTAAAACCGAAAATGCATTCGAATTCAACAGATAACGTTTATTTTTGTTCAATGAGTTTCATTCATTAGCAGAATCAAGAAATAGAAAATTCCTCATCTTAATCTTCAGCTGCATTTCAAATATTTTAAGTATGTTTTTTAATATATATTTCATGAACGTAAATACATCTCCAAAGAACACGTCCAAAAGTATCAAAAATACAGTATTTCAGATAAAAGTATTTAAATACTGCCAAACTCTGCGAACATTAGGACATAATGATCTCAATACAATACTTGAACAGGTCTCAAATAATTCCTTCATTACTATTAGAAATCCAATTCTTATTCGCGTGTATGTGATACTAAATTCAGAAGCTAATCCTAGTAATTACATAATTGTACAATTTTTATGAAAACATTTCTTTTATGTAGTATTTCATATTAGATCCTCATAACATTTAAACATTGACGTATTTCAGTACACATCAGAAGACGGTAGTTTCACTTCTTTCTTTTGTTACTATTGACTTTACTAGACTCCATGATATCCTCAATAAATAACTTTTACGACCCTTTAAGTCTATAATTATTTGTTGACTCCATTATGATCAATTATCTTGTAAAAAAAATTGCAAACTACTTTATTAGGCGTTCTCTGTATTGAGTCGACTATTTTGTGTCTCTTTGCAGTCTCCGCTGTAGCTTCTCGTAGAGGCGTGGCGGTGGTCGATAGCCGAACAGTACGAGGATTATGTTCAGCCACTGGTGGCGACGTGGGAAGAATCTTGTACTCCTTTCCTCTCACTCCTTCTCTCGCCCATTCCACCCACTATTTTTCCCCCTGACGCCTTTCTCTCCCAAATTACGTCTCGGCAAAATCACCCAATTGCTTCACTGCGTTTCTGTTCACCCGCCGTCCATCATCCGCCTGTACATTTTGCCCTGGACCTCTTCCACCACCCCCAGCCCCAGCCCCACAACTCGTCCCCCTCCGCTTCCTCCGATACTTCTACCCAACCACGGCTTCCACTACCCCAGCTCATCTGGTCCGAGGGCACTGCGCGGCAAGTCCTATACGAAGAAAGACACACCTGCAAGAGCACCTGCACAAGCACGACGGGCGCAAGCCGCACGCGTGCGATTGGCCTACGTGCTCTCGTCCTGGGTGCTCTTGTCGCTTCGTGCGGAGAGACGAACTGGTGCGCTACCGGCGAGTGCATACAGGGGAGCGGCGACATAAGTGCGCCATCTGCGGGTTTCGCTTCCAGCGGAGCGACCACCTGCAGAAGCACGTGCGAACAAAGTACAGGGGCCGTGGTGAGTTCCTGCGAAAGCACAGCTGGCGCACTTTTGCGATATCAGATATTTAGTATAAATTAATTTGGAAAGGTGACAATTTCTGTTCACAATATATTTTTAGGCGTGATGTGTGTTGAGGCGGCCATTTTTTGTGTATTTTTAGACTCTACTGCAGCTGCTGGCGGAGGCGGGGTGGCAGACGAGAAGTATGAGGCGTTTGTTAGGCGAGTGGTGGGGGCGTGGGAGGAAACCCGTGCTGCTCCTTTCCTCCCTTCCCTCACTCCCCTTCTCGCCCATTCCTCCCAATATACTTGTCCTCCTCACTCCTTCCTATCACAATCTACAACCCCCCTAAACCACCCCATCACCCCGTTGCCCACTGACACCTCCCCATTCCATCTCCCGCCAGAACAGTCCACCCTAAACCTGTCCTTTACAGCCCCCAGCCCTACCCTTCCTACGCCCTCCTCGTCCTCCGCCTCTTCCCATCCTGTCACGACCTCCTCCACTCCACCTCCACCTCCAGCTCCTCCGGCCCGTCGCCCTGCCCCCCGTTGACACGCGTGTACGATGTGCCCCAAATCGTACACGAAGAAGGCGCACTTGCAACAGCACCTGCTTAAGCACGAGGGGCGCAAGCCGCACGCGCGCGATCGGCCTAGGTGCTCTAGTTGCTTCGTGCGGAGGGATGAGCTGGTGCGCCACCGGCGGGTGCACACAGGGGAGCGAAGGCACAAGTGCGCCATCTGCGGGTTTCGCTTCCAGCGGAGCGACCACCTGCAGAAGCACGTGCGCACAAAGCACAGGGGGCGAAGTGAATTCCTGCGAAAGCACAGCTGGCGCACTTTACTATGTAAGATATTTAGTGTAAGTTAATTTGAAAAGATGACGCTTTGTATTCACAATATTTTTCTAGGCGTGTTGTGTGTTGAGTCGTCTATTTTATGCATATTTTCTGACTCCGCTACAGCTGCTGGTGGAGGCGGCGTGGCCGAGCAGTTTGAGGCGTCTGTCAGGCGAGCGGTGGAGGCATGGGAGGAAACCGGTCCTTCTTCTTTCCTCCCTTCCCTCACTCCCACTCTCGCTCATTCCTCCCGATATACTTCTCCTCCCCTCTCCTTCCTATCCCAAAATTCATCCCCTCCAAACCACCCCATCGCTTCGTTGCCCATCGACACCTCCCCATTCCTTTACCCGACGGAACAGTCCGCCCTCAACCTGTCCTTTACAGCCCCCAGTTCTACATGTCCAACGCCCACCTCGTCTCCGCCTCTTCCCATCCTGCCACGACCTTCTCGACTCCAGCTCCTCCGGCACGTCGCCCTGCCCCCAGGCGACACGCGTGTACGATGTGCCTCAAATCGTACACGAAGAAGGCGCACTTGCAAAAGCACCTGCTCAAGCACGAGGGGCGCAAGCCGCACTCGTGCGAGTGTCCTGGGTGCTCTCGTCGCTTCGTGTGGAGAGACGAACTGGTGCGCTACCGGAGGGTGCACACCGCGTGCGGAGGCACAAGTGCGCCCTCTGTAGGTTCCGGTTCCAGCGGAGCGACCACTTCCGAAAGCACGTGCGCACAAAGCACAAGGTTGTGGTGAGTTCCTGCGAAAACACAGCTGGCACACTTTGGAACTATTTAGTATTATAGAATAGATTTAAACAGAAATGTATAATTAAATGTGGCAACAACTGATTGGAAGGCAGCTAAGGGTCTGAACGGGAAGGCACATGCACTAAAGATGAAGGGAAGCCTACTTCTCGTGAACGTGTAAAGTATCAGGTCTTGAAGCCACACACATTCCTCAGAGAAAGCAGCACTTGTTTCATGCGTAAATAGAATAGCTCGCGGTAGCTTCATCAGCCGCGTCTGCAGGGCAGGGTCAGTGTTCAGACCATAGACCACCTGCAGGAGCACGTGCGCGAGTAGCACAAGACCAGGCGTCGAAGGACGTGAAGAAAAAAGGGGGCATGACCTCTCTCCCACAGTGTTAAGCTGTCCTTCCACAGACGGTGGGTACACTGCGCAAAACAATTCTGATAGTTTACTGTGAAGAGTAGGACTCGAAATCGTATTTCTAACTGCGTTTAATGTGTTTTAAAAAATGAAAATGTTAAAAACCCGTATTTTCCAATATATAACTATATAAATTATAAATATATAGATTGTTTCATTATGCCAAATTTGTGACGAATACGTGAGAGCGATAAAGAATCAAAATTGTGTAATGGCGTGCCAGAAGGTACCAAATGTTTTACAACATTTACGTACAAACCTTAACGTATCTGAACCGGAAGAGATCGCTCAAGGTATCAACGGATGTCACTGCAGTCCCTCTGACAAGAAGGTCCTACGTTCCAGTCCGACGGTGGCTGAATTTTCGAAACTATCCTGTCATCTAGATCGAATATACTCCCTGTCTGGAGAAAAGCTCTAACGGCCGGCTGCTCTGATAGGTAATTTTCCGTTACTTCCGATCAACGCCAGGCGAATGCTGGAGCAGTACCCTAACAAATAGGGCACGGACAACGCGCGAGCTTTCCTACCTCTTCTTTATACTACCCTCTCCCCTTACACACACGCGCACATCCCTGGGCGCTTTTACACATCTACCTAGAGCAAGAAATTGGAGGAGTGTCTTCGGGAGGTGAAAAGGAGGAGTGGAATAAGTGGGAGAAGCGTGATCAATTCGCGAAAGGAGTGAGTAGAAGTGGCTGGAGCGCGATCAACAGGTGAAAAGAATGAGTTGAAAAAGTGGGCGGAGCGTGATTAGAAGGCGTAAGGAACGTGTGGAAGTGGATGGATCATAGGAGGAATGGGTAGAACCAGGAGAGATTTGAATAGGCCAGACACGGCCATCATGCAGACCAGACCGGCGAACCATGTCGGGCAGGCGCGGCTGTTTAGTAGAAGATTCTGTCACATAGCTGAGAAACACCAGGTAATGGATTATAATATAGTTTAGTGGTAGTTAATATTAATATTGGATAATAAAATCTGTAAGAAAGTTACAGTTGTGTGATATTGTGCTGTTTTTGCTATTCTATGCCAGAAGTGTGTTCCGAGATTTCGAATTAAGTTTTGCTTTGAAATATACGAAGTTTGAAAGATTAATTTTATATAATATGCATTTTGGTGACTGACTTTGCGGGATTGCATTCCAGCTATGAACAAATTGTAATTTACAGAAATAATGTATACTTTTGATAATTTGTCGCTATAATATAATATATATTTTGGAATATTATAGAATATTATCTGCCTTCTGCTCAACAAAATTACCCTTATAAAATGCGTTCTAAAAATATTATCAGAGTATGATTTCTTAAGAATGTATTCTTTAAGATAGTGAAATTATACGAATCAAAAAGTCTCTTTTTTTCTCTTTACAGACTCCCTGAAGCTCCCGGAGAATGTACCAGGGAAGGCCAGTGGCTGATGCTATGTAGATCTAAAGCAGCGGATGATGGCTTGACAGGATCCATATTGGAGACAGCGTCATACTCTTCAAAACGCCTTGATCTCCTGCACATATCACCCATCCATTTCAAACTTTTGTGTGCATCGCACTGCCATGCAACATTAAATACATTAATATTTAATTATTTCTTATTAATAAACCATGTAAAAAATGCAATTTTCTTATAAATATAAAAAAATGAAATTTAAAAATAAGTTTTATCTTCCTTAGATATGTCCTTCTCACGTGCTAAAGTAGTTTGCAGTTTCTTAAACAGCAATGACCTTTAATTTTACCCTTTAAATTTTTCTTTGTTTACTTATATGTACAACAGTAGTACTTTTCTGTATTTTTTCGATGTTTTGTCCAGTTTCCCCTTATCCATTGAGCATATGCTGAGATGGCCCCTTGTTTTGCGTCTGGACGAAAATGTAGCTTCACTATTCGCACGTTTTGTTGAACTCTCCTTATGCTTGTACTGGTAAGAGTAGTGGTAAATGTGAGTTGCTATTTTTCTAGCAGTGCAGAAAAATCATACTTGCAATCCGTGTACCGATGCAAATAAGTTTTCTGTAACTCAGAAACGAAAATTACTATTTTTCATGTATTTCTAATCTTGCGATTTTTAAAATTTATTTTATTTGTTAATTTTTTCTCATTTTTCAATTATTTGTGGTTAAAATGACGAAGGGATTCAGGAAATCAAGAAATCGTGCATAGATAATATTTTCCCCCTGCGTCAATTTGTACTGTTTTGGACTATATAAATTGAAATGGAAAAATACCTGATGTATATTGGCAAAAATTTATCAAATTTTGTCAAATTCATATTATGTACGTGCACATGTCTCATTCTATTGGTTAAATATATTTCTATGAAGGTATTATGTGAAAAACACTACGAATTAAATGTATGCGAAATATTTAGTTTTAATATTCAGAAATAATGAGAAAATAAGCAATTCAATGCCTTCAAAAAGTAAAGAAAAAATAAATCATTTTAAAACATTTTTTCTGTTGTTAAAAAAACAAACATATTACAAATTTGGAATGACGAAACTGCGAACATTTTAAGTAAAACGCCTGATGCTAATTGTTGCAATAATTATTTATTTCTTTTATTGTAGTTCCCTGTTATTTTAGTTTCTAGACACTTGTTAAAATGACAATATATAGCTTGTAGTCCTTGTTTATTTGATAGATAATTTGCTTTAATATTTATTCGTGAAATAGTTGTAACCAATACCACTCCTGCATTATAGTGCTCGAATTTAATTTCCTAGTTTCCCAATTCTGGTATTTAATTTTTTAATAACTCTTATGCCTTTTGTCAACGAAATTAATAAATTGTCCTAAACTCTTCTGAGAACACAGAGCTGTGTTGATAGGTAAGTTGTCAGACTATTTTTTAATACGGATATCTGAGAAGCAGAAAGCATAAAACTATGGCTAATTGTGCACATCAGGATTTTTTTATAGGAGATTGCAGTCAATTAAAAATCAAAATTAAATTGGATACATATAATTTGAATGTACAATTCACAGTAAAATAATCCATTTAGTATTAGATACTTTTTAATAATCGAGCGATCATGTGTTACGATCAATTCGGATTCAAGAAAATTGTAATATATCAGTATTTAATCCTGGAAGTGACATTATGGCCAGTTAACAAGTGAAGGTGAGATGAAAATTAGACGTTATATTCAAATTGACTTACATCTGAGAAAAAGTGTTAAAAAACACGTATTGCGGACTCAAATTCAGAAAGAAAAGCATGTGAATTACAAAAACTTTAGCTCTGATATTTGATTATGGCAACTAATATGTAAACATAGAATGGAGGGGAACGCATTTCAAAAAGCAAGTCGAATAATTTATTGAAAAATATTCTTCTGTATATGAATTAAAGAAAATAAAAAAAATCAATGGAACATTGTTAAAAATATTTTGTTGGCATTTGAAATGAATGGCATATTATTACTAAAATAAACAATAAAAAACAAAATAGTCTACAGCCGTCGAGATACAAAAGCGATAGCAATTGTTTTAGTCGTCGTGTTAGCAAGCAGTAGGAAAAAAACAGCAGAATGATTTTAGACAGCGAGGAGGACAGTAGTGTGGATGTATGTGAATAGATAGCTAAACCGCAGGTCAGGAGTATAGTTTCTAAATGTCGATTTGAATTTGGAGTTTGTGAAGTGAATGCGTTAGTGATAAAATGAAGATGGAGATCCTGGAAATTTCTAGGGGGAACGAGGGATGGTGATACATAAATTGGCATCGCTGCAGTCAAGGCAAGTGAAAACGTTTTGATTATTTTACTGGGAATTAATATGAGAAGGCACCGTATATTAAGCGAGAAGACAAGAGATAATTTAAATTTAAATGGGCATATGAGCATGCATGCGTAACATGAGTTTTTAATGAATATTATGTAAATAGGTGTGTGTGTGTGAATATTAGAGTTGTTATTTTCAGGGTGTAGAATATTTTCCGTCTATGTATTTGTTGTTGTTGTTGTTGTTGTTGTTGTTGTTGTTGTTGTTGTGCAGTGTATTGTTGCACTTTTGGTGAAATTGCTATGAAATAGGTAGCGGAAATGAACAATGTTGCTTAAGGAAAAATAAATAAGTCACGCCGACTATTGCGGCCGTAACATTAGAAATTTGAAACTTATTTTTGTCTAGATATGAGGTAAGGGTTACATCCAATGTACTCCATGTATCGTGTTTCCATAAAAATCAACGAAAGTACCCTGCATTCATAAAGGAGGGATTCGCAGACGACTCAAACATCAATTTCTTGACATGGTGGATTCATATTTAAGTATAAATAAAATATTAAATAATTAATAGATCAGTATCAGGGATTAAATCCGTAAAGAACTGTCTCGTTGCCTCCCATGCGTGAGGCAAATAAAATATGTAACATAATATAAAACAAAGAAAGGTAAATGATCCACACGAAATAGGTCTCACATGAGTCATCGAATGTACAATTACAATTAATCGTAGATACACAAAGGTTTATATTTTATAGATCAAAATATTCCTAAAACAAACATTGTGTAAAAAGTAGAATAAAAATTAATAAAGTCATATTCACTTGTTATCGCCATTAAAGTAGAGTACACGGTATACCCTCAGAGAAGCTTGGTGGCAGGGGGAAGAGAGGTCTCCTTAAGCCCTCCCATAAATGACGCTATGCACTCTGATAGAAGTTAATAAAAACACGGATAGACGATTTTCATGGTTCGCCCTTCATATGCTTTGTCCCCGCCGCATTGTAACGCCAATTTACTTTCAAGAGCTAGTTTTCTTGCTTCACTCGCCCGGATCCCAGTCACGGCGGGTCTCGGGCCTTCGGCCCTCGCGTTCATTATAAACATCTTTGAGTCTATTCACCGCATAATTACCAATTCACTTGAATAACTAATTACTTTTCAAGACAGTCTCCAGAATTCAAACTGCGCAGTTACCGCCGGAGTGGCGCGAAGTGCCAGTTTCAAGGACTTCCGAAGTTTTACCGTATACTTGACTTCAGCCGTTATCGCTTTACAGCCCAATTCCTTATGGCCGCGTGCAACCACAGTACTCTGCATTGCAGCCATCCTTATCTTTGCAGACATCTATGGCTGATCTGTATCTTAAAATATAACAGAGATCATTAAATGTATTAGCAGTTGAAGGTGCTTTTGGCTACAATTTGTTGTTTACTACAATTTTCTTGATAGTATTGGCGTTCCGCCCGCCTTGCTGTTTCGGGTTACCTACTGCGGCATATCTCTTCAGCGCTTCGTACACCGTGACGCCTGTACTGTGCATTCGTCTCGTACAAGGCTAAGATATATTCACTGGCGTTGCAATAAGCCTACATTCGGTCTCCGTGGAAGTTCGGCGGAACCACTTTCGTAAATATTTAGTTTCCTATTTGCAAAAGAGAAATACTTGTACTTTTATCTTTAATAAGCTTCTACATTTTAAAACTCGTGTATTGGGTTTGAGGAAAATATTACAGTTGTCTTTGATTCCACAGAAATTAGTCAAAATTATAAAAGTCAAAATGGATGCTTGGATTAACGGCGCTTTTACTAAAAAAATTCATTTCAATAAAAACTGCAGTTATCGACATTAGTAATATCTTACAGCCAGGATTTCCCTTATATATTTATGTCATCTCTCAAGAAGCTTGTATAAAAAGTACCCGCAAAAATCTGCTCCACCTAGTCACTTGCTTATCGCATGCATTTTGTTTTTCATAATTTTACGAGGGATTTTAAACTTTCTTCTGTGTTGTATGCTTTACACTGGGAAATTCACAATACTTGTTCCATGGTTATATACTTAGTTTATTTGTAATTAATTTTATAAAAATATCCCGTCAGTAACACATTCATTGCTAATTTGCCCATTTTGTAGAACCTGCTAAATCCAACCTACAGAATATGATCTAGCATTGGAAATGGTAATGCTCATTTGTTAATACTCTTTGGTTTGTATTATCTCCGGAACAATTCTATTTTTTGGTTTATTAGTTATCTTATATCGAGTCTTATCTCTCTAAATCAACTTCTACTTCGTCAAATTGGCTAACGAAAGCAAAATCCTAGTGACCAAAACGAGAGGACTTTGGTTTCGTTGCTGAAACGAGAATGGCGTTGTAATTGATTAAATATTGGGATCCAATAGATCTCGGTTTTTACGAAAGTGTCTCAGATTTTTAACCTATATCCCACTTTCCCTTCAATTCATTTCGGAACGCCAAACTTTTCTGGGTTTAAAGAAATACAAAAACTTCGATACTTTCTGAGAGCATGTAGGTTCATTTTGAATCCTTGACTTTGAATTTACCGGTGAACTGTTGGTTAGAAAGAATCGTTAGAACGACCTATTCGGCCGTTTCCGTCATAACTTTTAGTTTAGTTGTGTTTAGTGATGAATATTAATTTGGTATTCGAAATAATTGCGGGTAGTTTGAAAAAAAATTATTTTAATAAAAAAGCGACAAACCACACGAAATAAATCGTGTTTTGAGTCCTAACGTAAAGTCATAGTTCTCATTTATAAAAGAAACTACTGATTTCTTCAAAGATAATGTGAAATGTAAGATCTGCCAAGCGCTATTAATACGTTTGACAGTTTTTAAAGGGCGTTTTTAATAATTAGTTGTAGTTTAATTGCAGTCACATCATTTGTATTATTAAAAACTGTTTTCAAACTCACTGAAATGAGTGAATTATTTCTGTGTTCATAAATTATAGAGAATAACACACATTTGTTCTGTATGAGATCCCCATCTCCTCAATCATAATTTTGTGTTGTGGCCCTTTTTTGTTTTATAAATACGGGGCCCTTATCAAATAGATTTTTGGTACAAAATGCGTTGGTCAGACTCAACAATGTTTTAGATTGAAGGTCGGAAGTCGTAGACTGGAGCCTCGTTACGAAATGTAACTCCAGGAACTCGCCTTAAACGTTTGAGTTTATAAATTCGACACCATTTCCGTCGCAAACCCGTGTCCTGTTTTTATTGGAAGTGATCAGATTATTTGGCATTCGTTACAATAAGATAAAATATAATGTAGATACAAAGAGAGAAGAACATGTAACAAGATTTACAGTACAGTACGTGCAGTTTTGTTTAAATATCATTTGAAAAGACCTTGTGGTCACCGTAACGTACTTAATTTATCGTTGAGCTATTACATTTTTTATTTAAATGTATTTGCTTAGGTACATTCACTGTAATATATAAATTAAAAAAATGAAGTAAATTGAGAAACGCATTCTTCTGGTGAGGTTCGCCCAGAGAATCAGCTCACATTGCCAAATGAGGGTGAACTGTTTGTGTCGGTCTAAGAGAAACGGTAGAGTGACGGACTTCTCAATCAAATAGACCAAAATACCCATGGCAGATTACAATACTGTCAGAGGTGACAAGGGTGACCTTCAAAATATACTTGGTGAGGAAAGTGGAGGTACATTTGGGAAGGGGTAGTGAGTAAATGTGAAACGACTCCTATCGATGCCTAACTGCTACAATTTCATTTTTACATAGAAACCCGTAAGTCGTATAATATAAAGATTTGCTCTGATACAGAAATACTACGGTTGGCATCGAACTGCTTAAGAGCGAAGTTCAACCACTGTTGCCAGACGAACCAGGATCCTAATATTTTTACGAGGATTTTAATGAAGATTCCCTGTACCAGGATGAAGTAATCCTCAGACGTTGAAATACTAGGATTTGGAATCTACGGTAATTGATGTAGAAATTATGATTCGTGTAATATTCTTTATTCAACATTTTTAATTTAACACCATTACTACCAATGACTGTGATTTCGGTAAAAGCATTGTCATAAAAACAATAGTGTGACAGGATATTTTTTCTAGTCTACGCATATGTTTATAAGTAAAAAACCAATAGCAATCTATTTCTTCTAATTAGCTTACTCATATAAAGGAATCGGGTTCGGATATCGGATACGTTTAAACAAACTTTCCTGTGTGCTGTAAAATCAATAAGTTTTAATACTGAGAATTTCAGAATAAAATCAATTGACAATTGCTACAGCTACTTTATAAAAGCCAGATTTTTCGCAGGTTTGGTAATTTCGATATACATTAGTCATGGCAACGCTGAGTTCACAAAGCTATTTTTCCGTGAATCATTATATTCACCTGGTGCTAAGCAATTCACCCCGTCTGCCTCGCGTAGCGCTCCAGGCGCTCGGGGCATTTGAGAAGGGCATCCTCCCTCTGACTCGGGGTGGGGGGGGGGGGGCGACTGCCCCGCTGCGCGCAGGGAGTGCTGCCGCAGAGGACGCCACTGTCTGTAATTAATTCGAATGGCATTACGGATATTAGATGATGCGAACTCAATGCCGTCCCATTACGGCCCGAGTAGCGAGATCTGTTAATTGAATATGCCGAATTCCGGTTGGATTTGCTCTGACGTCCTGGATTTTCTCTTACGATTTGCAGTTTTTAGTAAATAATGATCATCATTAACATTTTATTTACTGGAATATTATAATTATTATTATTTATTATTTTATTATTATTATATTATTATTATTATTATTATTATTATTAATTATTATTCATTATTATTATGTATTATTATTATTATATTATTATTATTATTATATTGTTTTTGTTGTTGTTGTTGGTTGTTGTTGTTGCTATAAACCGAACTATTAAAAAGGTCTCCAAAGGTCGAAATACTCGTCAGATACAGCATTTGTGCTAATATATATTTTCCAATACGGATGTTACATTAAACTAATAATTAAGAAATTAATATTGCTGTGAACTTTCTCATTTAAGATTTTATTAAATGCGGTTTTTATTTCTAAGGTTCTGTGGTGGTAACACACGGATATAAAAAAATTTCTTTAACAGATGTTCCGTGAGACATAAGACGTGATATTGGATGTGCTTGAAATATAATTTTTAGTATGCACAACACAGACCTTTCTAGTAAAAATAAATAGAAAAAAACGGAAAACGTAAATCATAAAACTTTCTTTACTCTCTGTTCTGAGAATCTTGTCATATACTGTATCATTAAGTTTAAGAAGGGGTATGGTGGTCGCAACAAAAAATTCAGAAATAAATAATTAACTAATGACCATGTTATAGGTTTTATATGTGTGAGTTTTTTTGTTCAGTCTTTATTCACTTTAAATG